TACATATACTAGATATTGCAAATAAGGGAAACCATGGGACCTATGTTTCTTTGGGCCTGGCTTACTTCACTTAATATAATTTTTTCCAAGTGGAAAAAATATATTAATTGAAGTATACCAGGCCTAAAGAAACATAGGTCCTATGGTTTCCCTTATTTGCAAGAACTAGTATATGCCTGGGATAAGCAGAAGAGTTCAAAAGCTATGTACATATGACCAGATAAGTTGATGTTAAGTGAAATGAACCCCGAGATATGGACATGCGTTTTTTCTTTCTTGCTATTGTTTCTAACGTATTTATAATGTGCCATATGATTTTTTTGTTTCTTTATATGATGTTTTCACTGTATTTGTTGTTGTTGCCCTGCATCTTGTATACACACTTCTCCAGCTTGGGGAGGGGAAGGGAAAAAGTGAAATGCTTAAATAGGGATACAGGTTGACATTGTAACAATGAGATATACAAGACAATATGCTGAAAAATGAACTTTATAATTTAGTGGGGGATGGGGATTGTAGCTGTGGAGGTGGGAAGGAATGGAGGGTAAGGGAAAAACAAAGGAAGAGGTAACAATTTTTGAGAGGAAATGTACTCATGACCTTGCTCATGTAACTGAAACCCCTCTGTACAGTATTTTTACAATTAAAAACTTATTTAAAAAAGAAGTGTATTCATTACCTTACGTATGTAACAGTATCCCCTCTGTACATTACCTTTACATTAAAAGTAAATAAGTAAATAAATAAAATGGTAAAATATCAGCCTAAAAAATGAAAGATAAAGGTATACGTTTCTGCCAGTTTTTAGGTATAAAGGTAGGGAATTAGCCATGTTTATAAACCACTTTTCTTTGTTCTCAGCTTTAGTGATTTTTGAAAGGGTAAGCACAAATTGCTCCATTTAGAACTTGACACACTATCCTCTCTTAGCTCATCAGTTTTCACAACTGCTTTGGTACAGTTTCCACATTGACAGGATAAAGCTTTGCTCTAGTATGTCTGGTTGATTTGTCTTCACTGCTGTCCCAGTTGGTCCAATTGCACACTGGAGGGGGTAATTGACAGGTCAGATGGGAACCTGTGCCAATAAGACTCCTTTATTCCAAATTTAAGCAATAAGATAAAAATAAATAGTTCCAAGCAGGGTGTACCTGGAAAGTCCTGGAATTGAAAAACTAACTGTGACCAATAAAACTTATGGTAGTTATCACTCTGTGGGTCTGACTGTAAATATGTTGGAGCATCAAATCTTTTATGACTGAAGACTTGTAGATGTCATTAAGCCTTTCTAATTCTAATGAGCAACTCACAGACACAAGCCTGCTTAGTGTGGTGTCATTAATTTAGAAATATCTTGCCACTTTGTATCCAAGGTGGCTTAAAGACTTGGTGAACAGGAATATTAGACAGCAACAATTAGCATTAGTCAGTTAAAAGGTGACCACTTGAAGAACCTTGACAATAACAGACACATGGACTATGGTTGGGTTGCTACTTAGTTTATATACCTTAGGAAAAATCTTTAAATCAATTTTTAAAGCACAGACAACAGAATTATACAACTATAAGCTCTATCTTATAAAACTCAAGACATATGTCCATTGCACTTTCTTGAACATTCTGAAGTTTGTCTTAATGCCTCCCTTTTCTAATTTGGAATAAACATTTAAGGCAATTTTTACTCTTCAAATTCTTTCTTATCCAAAGGAAACCATTTTTTGTTTCCTTGATTTTTAAAAGCTTTTTTCTTTTGTAGTTCCTATCCCCTTGTCTTTCTACTTCCTTATTTCTTAATTTCCTACTTACTGATATTTTCCTTCATTTTGTATTTTGAAATAACATAAAACGTTTTAACTCAAATGACATTGTGCTTTAAACAAAATAATCTATTTTTGTATGCAGAAAACTAAATACATGCCCTTTTTCTTTTCTTAATAAGTTTTTTTATTGCAAAAATACCATACAGAGCAGTTACAGTTACATGAGCAAGGTAATGAGTACATT